CGCCAAAACTCATAACAGAAGTATCCAGACAGGACGACTTTTCAAATAGAGCGCAGGTCTACTGACCCGAATCCTTTTAACATTTTAACAGAGACCCAAACAGTACCCACATGGAGCACAGCCACTTGCGACGGGGCAAGGAAAAACTGCTTTAACAGGCAGAAATCCTAGGAAGACCCTCGGCTCTAGGTGGCGTGGTCATCCTGCCTTGACAAATCAGAAGCAGAAGTCAAAAATGACTTTAATAATCCCCAGGGGAAAGTATTTTTGACCAGTGGGGGGAAAGAATAAAGACCAGCAGGGAGACAGAGAAGAGAGAGAAAGAAGAGAGAGACAAACAGATGGTACGAGCAACAACAGTAGCACACAACTACATTAAAGTAATGATCGATCTGACATCATGAAAGACGATGACTGCAGCAGCCCAACGATGGCGCGACACGAGTAGCGACAACCAGGTTACAACACGTAACTGGTAGCCAATAATAATATCTTAAGTAATAACTAATAAGTAATAAACAATATCATCTAGCTCCACCCAAGATCGCATGAGAACCTGCGAGACGAGAAAGCACAGAGAACTCCGCGGAAGAACGTGAATTAGTAACATGCATTAATGGGACATGAATTGAGTGCAGAAAGAGAGAGAGCAGAAGAGAGGAGCTCAGTGCACCATGGGAGGATCCCCCGATAGGCCTTAGCGATAGCCAGCATAACAAGGGATTGGTTCAGGGACTCACTGAATCCAGCCCTAAACTATAAGACTTTATCAAAGAGGAACGCTCTTAGAGCCTATTCTTAAAGTGGAGAGGGTCTGCCTCCCGAACGCACAACCTGAAGCTGGTTCCCAGATAAGGGAGCTTGGTAACTGAAGGCTCTGGCTCCTGTTCTAACTTTTAGAGACTATGAGGAACACAGAGCTAGCCCTGCAAATTAAGAGAACGCAAGTTTTCTAGAGGGGAGTAGGGACTATGAGCTCTTCAAGATAAGTAAGGCCCTGACCATGAAGAGCTTATAGGGACCGAGAAATTTTAAATTCTATTCTAAATTTACAGGGAGCCATGCAAAGAAGCTACGACAGGTCCTATTCCTGTCATGACGCGTGCTGCATTGGTTGAAAATCAATTGGAGTCGTCTTAATGGGACGGTATTTGCGCCACCTGCATTAACAAAGAGTTGCAGTAATCAGCCTAACTAACAAATGCATGGATTCAGTTTTTTCTGCAATCCTGTCTGTCGCACACGGATGTGTCTAATTTTGTATATACGTAATGAAAGAAGGCAACAAAAAGGTCGCCACAGACTTGTCAATCACAGCCCCGTCCTAATATTCATTCCATATATTTCTCCTAAAAATATAAATGCTTGAGTAATATGAGAATGTCCATTATGCTGAATTTACCATGAGCTGTAATAATACATATAATATCTAATTATTTCATACTGTACAGTATATAACTTGAAAGGGTAGACATGTGCATGATTAGAAGTTTTTGACAAAAATAAATATAATTTCAATATAGTTTAGATGGTAAAGTTATATATTCATTCGGTTGTTCATAGTGTCCCTGCAGGAAGAGTTACACCACTTCAAAGTCTTTCACGCATGTGTTTTTTACTGTATTACAAATGTTTGTTGCTGAGTTAGAATGAAACAGGACCTACAGGAACATACAGTAACTGTGTCTTTCCTCTGATGGGCGAACAGCACTCTCCTCAGGACAAAACAAAGTCAGAGATGGTGCGAGTAAGGAAGGTTAGCATGCCCCTGAGCTGGTTTTCCTGCTGACTCACCATCCTCATTCCTACATCAGTTACACATGGAGACTTTTGATTTGCTTTTCTGTTGTCTGATAGTGCTGTTTTCAATTGCAGAGATACAGAGTGCTTTCATCTCTTTATCGTTTTATGATTTCTGGCTGTTGTGACCAAAAATGCTTGATTTTGCAGTGGCTTTGTTTAGTTGGCTTTGTTTTGTGTGAAGCAGTATGTAGCTTTATTGATACATAATCAGAATTGGAAAATAACATGACACAAAGTTGCTGGATATTTTAGCTTTTGCCTATATTTAGTTATTTCTACCAAAACATGTGCTGACCAGGACATTTTACAGTTGAAAATAAAGATGTCAGTGCTCTTGACTATTGGGGCCACTGCGATCAAAATATTTTTGGGGCTTTTTTGCATTTATTCGATACTACAGCTAAAGATAGACAGGAAATGAGGGCAGAGAGGGGATGACATGCAGCAAAGGGCTGAATTCACACTACAAACAGCATTTTAACATAATTCTCTCTCCCAATGCCCAGGATGACCAGGGCAGTGTGGATGAGATGATTTATGATTCTGTTGTGGATCTGTGGCTTGTTCGGGTCAGGGACCACTGTCGACAGTTTGAAGCATATATGAATAACAGAACGGGCCAGGTTGGAGATTTCAGTGAATATTGGTGCCAGCTGCTCAATGCTGCTCCGAAAATGCTTCCAGATATTCCATCAGGCCCTGCTGCCACAGAAATAAACATGTTTACAGCCTGGTATAAAAATGGCTTTGGTCTCATAGCTAATTTAATCAACTCAGCAATTTAAATTATATCAAGGCTTAAAGTTGTGCATAATTAAAGGCATGGCCACTTTGAGTGACAAGTGGCTGGTTTCAGTAACCAGGCTTCATTTTGCCCACCTCAGCTCCACCACACTCCACAACTTTGCCCATTTTGATTAGCCGGGAGCAGACGGAGTCAAGACTGCTGAGATGGTGTCGGCCACAGTGAGCTTCCCACTGAGCTTAACAACAGGTCTTCAGAAACCTATGGGTGATGTCACAGAGCCATGTTTTAATGGTGGGCGATACCGCAAGATTTGGTATCGATCCGATACCAGTCAGTATCTGATACTGATACTGATACTGATACTTACGGCACACCTCTCCCTCTCCGCTGCTCCGGAAGAATAAAATAACGCGTTTCAATGGGATAAATGTATTATTTCAAGGTCCTAGCATACTTTATACTTTATTGAGTTGGCTAAAGTAACAAATGACCAGTTGCACTTAAAAATATATATTAACTAATGCAGAAGATAACAAAATATTACTTTCACCACTATTATCTACCTGGATATTCTCTGCCACTGAAAGGCCTCTGTTAATGGCCGCTACAGTGGTGTGGGTCTGTTGGGGCCAGGGGGTGGGGGATTTCTCTCCTCCTCTCTTTCTGTAGTTTCTGTACCTCTATATTTTCTTTTGAATGATTTTTCATGTGCTTATATAAATTCGTAGTATTGCCACTTTATGTTACAGCCTGTTTACAAACGAAACAATTTGCCGTTGTTTCATTTGTAACCTGAAAATAAAGCCACACAGCGCTCCTCTTTCTCTCCGCCATTCTTCTGCTCCGTCTCTCATCTGTGTGTGTGTGTGTGTGTGTGTGACTACTGGCCAGCAGACCTGCTT